CCCCCACACACAACCGTAACAGGCGTTCGGTGCAGCATTATTTTTTGCGAAGTCGACCTCTATTTTAATTTCTTCTATCTGACAAGTGTCAAGTTTTCAATTTATTAACTTTTGACACTCATCCATTGTATGTAAATTTATCCTTGGGTCCTGTTCAAGGTTTACTAACATTGTCCTTATTTCGTTATTTTTGTGGGACTTTAGATTCAACACAAAGATTAAACATTTGAACTCCGGTTTTCTGTTAAATTTTAGTTTACTCTTCATATTCTGTTCACTATTTCAGCATATGTGAATTTTATTTTCAGAGCTGAAAACTTGATGCCGAGTATAGGAAAACTAGACATCTTGTTTTGGGTTATATAAAAATGACAGTATCTTTTGTTCCTCGCCTTCTCAGTAGTGCGTCTTGTTTAAAACAAAAAAATATCAGTCCACCTCGCATTTTTTTTTTCACAGAAATCTTCAAAACGTGAAGTTATTCTCTGGGACCTAATTAAATACCGGAATTAAATTTTGGAACGGAATGTTTTGTCTCAAGAACCCTTCCAAAACATGTGTCTGACGTTGGAAAAGGAACTCTAACTCCATGTCGTTTTTTTTGTTTTTTTTTTAATTTCGACAATATAGTCTTGTCACTACCGTTACAATGTGTATTACTTACGTGAGTGGAGTAAGTCCAGCTGCAGTTTGTATTTACTTGACCCCCTTCTCCACTTAGTCAGGTTGTGATACAAGGTTGATTTTGAACGTGGGGACTAGAGTGTCTTCACTCGGGCCGCTGGTCAATATTTATTCTGAATCATACAGAATTGTGGCACAAAGCCGGGGTGGTGGGGAAAAATGGGGACTGGTTTTCATTAAGTGTCCTAGTCCATCATATATAAAAAATTTACCGATTCTTGTAATTATGGGGAGGGACAAATAACCCTGAAAACAAACTAAAATTTAACAAATATAAAATCAAAACAAATGATAGTAAGACCCGTCCACCCCACAAAATAAGATACCGCTGTACTCTGCCACTAGCCAGAATCAAGCAGCACACTCACAAATGGAATGGGGTTGGTAAAAAATGACGGAAGGGAAAAATCAAAGGCTGACTCAGCCGAGATGAAAGCAGGGGACAAAAACAAGCTGGGGAATAAGGGAATCTCGACATGGGCCATAACAAAAGTGAGGGCCGGGAACACTTATTCATATTAATTAGGGAAACAAAATAGTGTCTAACTTAACCAGGGAAGGGTTAACAGGAAACCACCCCGTTGTGTTAAAAGGACTTAAAACAGAAAATCACGGCTAGCCCCGTCCTCATGAACCAGGCTCGCCTCAGTCACCCACCTTTCGCTGAAATCTGTCGAGATCAAACGCTTTCGATCCGATCTGATTTTTACCCTAAGCTGATGCTTAAAGAAAACAACCAGATCCTGATGCAAATAATATTCATGCTGCAAGATTCCCTCCTTTCGCGTCGTCCACGTCACCATTATTGCCACGGCTAGCAACGTGAAAGACACCATCCGTTTTACCCCGAAGAACGGGGGCGACACATTGTCACACACACGTACGCTAGATCGATGGACACGAGCCTATCGGGAACGATACAAGCCGTCAACTCACCGACATACTTCCAGAAAGGGCGCATCTGGGAACAATGGTAGAAGGCGTGTGAAGCCGTTTCCTGTAAGTCAAGGTCACACCGATGGCAGTCTGGTAAATCTGCCTCACCCCATCTGAAGAGTACGTCATTGAGAGGTAGCACGTTCCGAATCAATCGTCAGCTAAGCGAAAACTCAGGGTTGCTGAGATAACCCGCCGCTGGCGCCCAAAACAAAAAGGAGTGCAACTCTGATGCCGACAAGCCGAGCCGGCCACACAGAAGATCATTCGCGACCCCCTCCGCTAATTCATGATACAATAGTCTCCGACGCCGAGAAAGGTCACTGGGCGGAGTATTGACCTTCAAGGCCGACCGACACTCGCTGAGGAAACTCGACAACCTTCCACGACCGCGACGGCGCTTACCCCAAGAAATGGTAAGGCTAGGGAAGGCATCCCTAACACTCTGCGCCAAAATCGAGTCCTCCATCAAAACGCGGTGTAGGAAAGCCATCCTCGAGGCATGGCGATGGCTCGCCAGGTGTGGCAATCCCAGCCCCCCATGACACAGATGCTGGTAACAGGCTTCTTTGCGGACCCAATGTTTGCGGCCACCCCACAAGAGGTCGGTCAACAAACGCTCATCACCTCCATACGGGACCTGCAAAGAGGAAGTACAGCCAGGCGGTAAAGGATGAAGGCCAAGACGTAAGTGGCACACGCCTCAGCCCTACCCTTTAAAGACAAACCCCTTCGAAGCCAAGTCCGAACCGACGCTAAGACCTTTGCCTGTACTTCTGACCAATTCTTCTTCAGTCGGAGTCCGGACACGAACCACACCCCAAGGATGCGGACAGGTTCATCAGTCCAGCCGAAGGGCCCTGGAAGCGCGATCCCCTTCCAGGCACCTAACCGCAAGCCGGAAGACCTGTTGCGGTTAATCCCACCCCCGTCACCTTCTCGTATCGTTCAAGCGCCTTCTGCACCACCTTAATGTCACTGCGGCACGACACAAATATGGACACGTTATCGGCGTACGCAGAAACCCTGGCTTGAGCACTACCAGGGAAAACGGCGATTCCGCGTAGGGCCGGACTGCACGACCCGTCCCTCAGCCGGCGAAGGAAGGGCTCCAACGCCAAAGCGTAAAGTAAGGGCGACAGCGGGCACCCCTGTCGGACCGACCGAGTCACCAGTAAGCAAAGGAAGACATAGTTAGTCACTGGCGGTGCTATATTGCTACAGATTTGAATTTAAAACTGTGCAGAAGGCAACAGGAAACCATTTCTCTACCTTTCCTGTAAACAATTAGGTAAGGGTGTTTAATTTGACGATATATCATCTTTTGTTGGGTTATCTAAATTCGAATATATGTGGTCGGGTTTATGTCTTAATGTGTATACAACCATTGATTCGGCTTGTGCCTGAGTCTATACGTAAACTAGTGTTGCGCGTAAATCCCTTCTTCGAGGGATTTCGCATTATTTATCATCTCTCAGTTGCGTCTCTGTCCTTGGACAGAATGCGCTCAGGGGCTTCTCTGTCTGAGGACAGAGGGGGAACTGAGGAAAATTATATTGAAGAGGTGCCCAGCCCTGGGGAATAGCTGCCCGAAGCCGCGCCCTCCCATTGCACAAGAGGAAGGAATCGGTGCTCGCACCGAGGCCAGCGCAACCGACGGTACCGGGGGCTGTGGGGAATTTTTGTTCCTGCCCGTGTGTACGCGCTCGGGTCCCCACATTAATCCGACCTTGTGTCACATCTCATTCTCGTGGGCGAATGAGTAAACACTGCGTAAACTAGTGTCAGTTATCAACCACCAAGAATATGGTCCCTTTTAGGGGTAAAGAGGATTCTATGCTTTGCTGATAGGACAGTTTCAGGAACAGCCATGGCAACTAACAGATGTTAAAGAGAGAAAAACTTCTTTTAAGTTTCTAGGACGTAAGGGTTCTTGGTCCTCCACATCTTCCTATCGTTGTAGTTTTTAATAAGTCTTTTTGTTATTTCTCTCAAACCCTTTTCTACCATCCATTTACTCAAGCTCATCAAGTATGTTTCGCGCTGTTTTCCTACGGACCGCTTTCCCTCAATCTGCCCTATGAGTATCAGATTTTCCAGACCCTCCTTCCTCATTAAATAGCACAGAAATTTCAACTGCATCTTCCTGGTGTTAAGTATAAGTTTCCTTAGTGTTTCCATTTCCTCCGAAACCTCAGCGTTGTCGACATCTATAATTATCTATTATTTAGGGATATGGAATTAAGAAATCCACCAGGAAGCTGTGGCGGGACATTATTATACATGTCCTAAGAAAAGGAGAAGGAGAGTGATAGATGCTGGAAAGATAAGGAGAAAAGAGAAAAGAAACTGTTTACCGTTTTTGCTTTAGTATGGATTTGGTTTTACTAATCAGGGAATTTCGAGTGAGAAAAAGCGTTGTTTACGCCTGAAAGGATTTCAATTAAAAATCTAATGCCTTGACGAAATCTAATCGGGAGAAGTTAACATCCAACAAGTTTCTTAATTTAAAGAGGTAAAATGAATGTTCAGTTGGCTTCTTTTCTTTTTTTTTTTTTTAATTCTATTTATTTCTTTTTTTACTGTTGACTTTAATGCTGGGAGTTTGAATTAGGCATATCAAGAAGAGAAGTGTAACTGAGGCATAAAACTGGAACTGAATAAGCGAAATAAAAACAAAAATTGAGAAAGACATAAAAATAAAATAAAAGAGTGATATAATAAGAAAGTTAAGCTTTCTTCTTTTTTTTTTTTTTTTTTGTCTTGCAGAAAGGATGGCGATTGTAGCAAAATTGATGGAAATAAAAGATGAAAGGGGGATAAAATGACTGAATAATTAAACCGACATATTACTTAGAATCTTATCTATTTGGCGTGTAAGCACTCAGAGGCTCGTTGAAATAGCGAAAAACGTTTTTCAAAAGCTCAACAAAGTATTAAGAAAAGGAAAATTTCATTAAAACAAGCAGTGCTGAACGGCTTGGTAATATAAATTCTCATATATGGTAGTGAATGATGAAAAATTTCCGCACTGATGAAGAGCAGACTTGAGACAACAGATATGCGGTTTCATAGAAGGATGCTGATATTACTATGGATTAGTTGATTGACAGATTTTTTTACGGCTTGTCAACCTTTTGCAAGTTATTTAAAACCAGAAAATATGTTTAGATTGTAGGATATTTTTGTAGCTAATAATGATTGACTGATACACATCTTACTAATTAACCTATAGCGGGGGGAGGGAAGCGGTGGATTAATACTTTATCTCAAGAGTATTTCCGCGTAAGTGAATCTAACGAACCCGACTGGAATTTGTATTCGGTTTTCCGATCTCTAATTTCGAGCCATTATCCATTACACCATCCGCACATCCAAGTTTACAGCACCTGGTATTCCCAAGCGGCCACCCATCTAGGTACTTACTAGGCTCGACGTTGCTTAACTTTAGTGATCATACGCGAGCCGCTGTATCAACACAATATGTCCGTTATACATTACACCACCTGCACATCTAAGCTTACAGCATCTTATATTCCCAAGCGGTGACCCATCTAGATACTTACCAGGCTCGGCGTTGCTTAACTTCGGTGAACGTATGAGAACCGGTGTTTCAATATGATATGTCTGTAAGCCAATATTACCATGAAAGCAGCGAGTAAGCCAAGAGGAAACAAAAGAGACAGTTGAAATTTCTATGATAAATTACGGGGAAAGAAGGTTTGGAGAACTTGACACTCACAAGGAATATTGAAGGTAAGGGGTGCAGAAGGAGATTGTGAATAACCTACCGAAGAAGCTGTTGTAAATAGATGGCAGAACGGCGTGGGAAGGATAAAAAAAATAACATTTTGTTGTGTAGGAATCTACCACCCCTCTTGAAGATGAACTCGCCTACAAACAAGCACGTTAGATAGTGGCATGTAAAAAGACAGCGTCGAAGAAGTTCTGAGCTGAGTTAGTTATAGACTACTCAGGCGATATCTGTACCAACTTACCAACCGAATAAACCCCATTTTATTGTTACATGTTATTTGGCGTTTGTCTTTATTAACCCCAAATTAACATCATAACACATTTCTAATAGCTATAAAGGATAGAAAGTTGTGGAGAACCATGACCGCCCATGTCGCGAACGGACGCAACACATAAAAGAAGATGAAAGATGCAAGCATACAATAAATGATTAAGAATTTGCTAGCAAAAAGTAATACGAAGAAATGTTCCATGATTATCCAAGTATTGACCAAATGGCTTTTTTCTATGTCGTTCTCTCTTTCTCTCTCTCTCTCTCGCTTTATCTCTCTCTCTCTTTATCTCTCTCTCTCTTTATCTCTCTCTCTCTTTATCTCTCTCTCTCTCTCTCTCCTTATCCACCCCCCATCACTGTCAACATATTTCAAGCCTCCTGAAGTAGGCAGGCAGGGAGTAAAATAGTAAAGGAAGTGCGTTCATTTCGGGAAGTGGACGACTGCTCAATTTAATAAAGGCACATGACTGGAATGAAAAAAAAATAAAAATCCAAACAAAATCAAAAGACGTTTCTCAAAAAAAAAAAAAAAAAAAAAAAAAAAAAAAAAGAATTGTGAACGATTTTAAAGCCCACTTTTCATCGTGTTCTGGATCAAGGACAGAAAGCTTGGATCACGGGCAAATGAGATTTTTTTATTCCTGTTTTTTTTTTTTGAGAAGATCAAACGTTCTGAAACGATGAAAAAGAATCGTTCTAATTGATACGAACGCGTCAAACTGTTTTGTCTTCACAAAGGAAGACATGGAACCACCTTAAATATCGTTCAGAATTTTATTTCCACTGAAACCCTGTTTAAAAATGTAATTCCATTAACTTTTCTATAAATACTTTCATGGTAATTGTTCTGATAAACTTTCCTCTATGGCACCAACACTTTATGAATTTAAGTGCAGTACTAGATTGGCAGCAAGGTCTCATCATTTTATGCTTGAAATGGCTAGATGTAACTGTAAGTTCTATGCTAACAGTTTCTTCTCTCACCTTCTCTAGAAATACTTTCATGGTAATTGTTCTGATGAACTTTTCTCTTTGTGGGGTGGGGGGTATTACTAATCTTATTTTCTTTAGTTTCTTGTAAATAGTTTTTGTATTCATATTGTAAATACTCATTGGGGCTAGTTTTTAGAATTGTTGTTTTATTCCCCTCCCCCCACAGACAATGAATTGTAAATATGGGGACTAGTTAGTATTTTCATAGAGACAAAGAGGTATTATGGTGGCTGTAGTAAGAAAGGTACGAATGAATGTGTTGTTTTGGTGTAAGGAATATTGTTTCGTACGATTGGGTCAGTGTTTGCGGCTAGCTAAGTTATAGTTAAGACAGAAGAAGACCGTCCTTTTCCCAATCCTTGTGCCACATTTCTGTATTAAACAGAATAAATATCACTTTCCTCTATGGCAGCTACACTTTATGAATTTAAGCGCAGTACAAGATTGGCAGCTAGGTCTCATCATTTTACAAATGCCTTCATATTACCGTTAGTAATATGCCAACAGTTTCTTCTCACACTTCTCGCTTGGAGAACTCTTGCTTCCCAGTTAAATTTGATCCTCAAAAATTTAAATGCAATGTCAATTTTTATCTTTTGTCTTCTTAATTTCTTTTCTTTTATTGTTCTCTCTCCTTAATAGTGTTTTTTCTCATATTCTCTCACACTCAGTTATCCCTTGCACCTTAGTGGCTTTATTGCCTTGGTTGGGGTGAAATGATAAAAAATAATCCTGAAATCTATTATAATTTAGCTGTCTTAAAATTAAATGTTGCGAAAAGAAGATAAAAGTTTGAATTTTTTCAAATTTCAATACGGATATTTGGATCTATGGTAGCCACATTATTTAGACTAACACTGGACCAAATCAAAAACATCATTCTTGCATCCAACATTATTAGGACTCTCAGATCTCTTCTTTATATAACTGTTGTTGCTAGCGCAACGTTTCGACCTATTCCTTCTTCAGCCATCGTCACGAGGAAAAAGTAAGCTTTTACTTTTTTTTTTCTTAGAGGGCTGAAAAATGAATCGATCGAGATTCCGTGGTAACAACAGCAACAATACAAAATATTCGAGCGTCAGAGCAATGTTGGGTGCTTTTTTTTCAAATTTTAGACAATACCAAATTCGTAATTCAAATATGTATATAAAGATTTTTTTTTTAAAAATTAATTGACGTTTTTCAGTCAGATAACATTTCTCCTTATTGCAAACGCCATTCAAGTGTCACCCGTGTTTGAGTAGACGTCTCTGTTTATTTACCTAATTAATGTCCACCAGCCTAGATCAATTCTCCTTAGTAAGAGTTTTGGTGATCGACGCCGGCAGACATTAATGTCATTGTTTGTAAATAAACAGGAATGTCTACGTAACCACGAATACCCAATAAAATAATGTTTATAGAAGTAAAAATACAACAACAACGGATTGTCAACAAGTTGTAAGAGTTCTTGCGAGACGGCTGTAACGGCTCTTCGAACACACCCTACTGAACACTTCTTGTCACAACTGACTAGTTTTGAGAATGCAATCGGGGCGTGTGGACAATTTGTAATCTCGCTGCACAATAAAATTTTCTGTCGACAGAGTTGGGTATCAAAACTGTCCTTCGCCCTCCCTTGGGTCCAGACTTTGCTCTCTGTGACTTTTGCTTGTTCTACGAGCTGAAGGAGAACCTCAGAGAAGGTCGTTTTGAAAACATTGAGAAGATGAATGAGGCTGTGACAAGGGTCCTAGACACATTCAATTTAGATAACTTCTCTGAGGCCTTTACGAAGTGGCTGGAGGGCTACTACAAGTGCATTGAAGTCAGAGGATCCCAATTTTAAGAAGATTAGAGCTTTAGTTAGTACTTCTTTGAAATTAATAAATGTTGCTCCTGAATAAGTCTTGTAACTTCAGGAATATATATCGTATTTACCCCTCCATTGAAACCACATATTAAATCTACTTTGAGAAAACTATTTCGGGCATTCCATAGTCTATAGTTATCCCTCCACCACGTAGTTTGTCTTCAATCTTGCTTTCATCTTTTTCGTCTGTCTTTGTGGAGGAAGGCGTTGGCAGTGCTCCCGGAAGTGCTCACTCCAGCGGCTTGATTTGATTGGTTCATTTTCCATGGTTTATCAACATTTTGCAGGTTACTTAAAGCCACAGATATTTTTATATTGTAAGAATTTTTATTAGATAATAAAGGTTTCCTAACTAACCCATAGCAGGAGAGAAGTGTTGTATCCATATCATCCCCAAATGTATTTGCGCGTAAGTGAATATAATTAATCAAATGGCAATTAGAACTCAGTTCTCCAATGAACAATTCTGACCCATTATCTATTACACCACCCACACACCCAAGTTTACAGTACCTAGTATTCCCAAGCGGCCACTAACCAGGCTCGACGTTGCTTAACTTCGATGATTGTTATTTAACGTCGATGATTCGGTGTTTTAATGTGATGTCGCCGTAAGCCTTCACTTCAGCGGAGAATTACTTCCAAGACTACATCAATGTCTTGGACAGCGCGTCAGTAGTCGAAGAAAACACTGATTCATATGGGAAACTTCCTTGATCTACCGCCCATCATCACTGGCGGCGACCCCGTCAATTTCTCCGCATCTTTCGTATATTTGGGTTCAGATGTTTTCAACACCGGCAACCTCCGCACAGAGATCAACAGAAGACGTTCGCTGGCTGCAGTTGTCACGAGAGACTAATGAAGATGGTGTCGCGATATCTCCCGACGCACCGAGTTAAGAGTTTACATTGCCACCGTCTTCTCTGATAATATAGGGCGCCGAGGTGTAGCCTCTCAGCAAGACACTCGTTTCCCGCATCCATTGCATCTAGTCTCACGCCCTCAGGACCATCGAGGAGGTGCACTGGTCCGATCCTGTATTCATATGAGAAGCTCCACCGAAGAACCGGCCAGCCGAACATCCTTCGTAACATCACTCAGTACCGTGTTCACTGGGTCGGTAACGGCCTGATGACCACCCTACCAAAGTCGTCTACCATTTCGACCCTCTGTAAACTGGCGATGACCGCGTGGTAGACCACACAGCCGCTGGCAAGACGCCATCCGCCAAGTCCACCAGATCAACCAGTCGATTAATCTGCCGCTGGAGGATGTTCCAACGATACACCAAGACCGAAAGAGCTGGAGGGACACGGCATTAACTTTAGCAGAAACAGAAGCCTATCTCCACGCCTTACAGTCATTGATTATCAACTTCTGGTCCTTATGTGGATGTCGACAGCAGAACACCGTGCCGTGGTTAATAAATCCAGTGAGCGAAAGAAAGGGTTCAGTTCGAACTTCCAACCACCTGAAGAATGCCGGAGCGTACAACGGCCGAAACGTTGTGATAAATATGGCGACAAAGATGAGGACAATAGTCCGAATAATGTAAATAAAATCCATGTTACTTCTTTGCTTCTATTAGATTGGTGCAAAAATAATGACGTAATAATGTCGTTTTTGACGTTAAAATTAAGTCAAAAACGACATTATTACGTCATTATTTTTGCACCAACCTAATACTTCAAATCCACTGTTACGCAACATCTAAAAAGAAAAATCATATCACTCATGCAGCCATAATTGTTGGATCTCGTGTTGTAAAAGCGTTACAATTCGATTGTAAAAGCGTTACAATTCGATTGCCCCCAGGGCTCCTATCTTTCCCCCCAGGGTTCCTATCTTGTCCCCAGGGCTCCTACTTCGTCCTGCTCTGTTTTAATTTTTATTAACGACTTTCTCGATAACATCAGCTTTCAACTTGGTATTTACGCTGATGGCACAACTATTTAATCCTCTCTTGATAGTAAGTTTGATCAGTTCGATATGGTCAAATTGTCAGATTCTGCCTAAAACGAACTTCAGTCTGTTGTTAACTGGGGTAAAGAATAGCTTGTTAATTTTAACGTCTCTAAATCTAAACCTCTCTTTATTAATCATCTGAGAGACACCTTTATGCCTTCCATCAACATGGCTGATGCTAATATCCAAGAGAGGGACTCGGTGCGCCTACTCGGGCTAACATTCTCGGCTGATATGAAGTGAAAAGACTGTATTGAAAGTTGGTTCACTATGTTTTTCTCTTCAGAATCTATCTTACATATCTATAAGTCTACCATTCGTCCATGCTTATGATATTGCTGCTACATATGGTCCGGTGCTTCTTCTATTTATCTAGTACTCCTTGATAAAATCCAAAGAATCGGCAATATTATTGGTCTTGATCTGGTGTCTCGGCTTCAGTCACTTTACTACCATCGTAAAGTTTCCTCCCTGTACCTTTTCTACAAATACTTTCATGGCAAGTTGTAACATGAGTTTAAGCGCAGTACTAACCTGGCGACTAGATTTCATCAATTTACAGTTGAGTTGGTTAGATAGAACCATAAGTTCTATGTTAACAATTACTTTTCTCGCACTTCTCGTTTGTGGGACTCTCTTTCGGCTAAATGCTTTCCATCCAACGTTAATCTTCAAAAATGTAAATAGTGTCAACTGCTCTCTATTGTCCTCCTGATTACACTTCTTTTGTTCTTGCTCCTTGGCAATGTTTCTGTTTTCTAATTCTTCCACCTCCAGTAACACTTTGGGTCTTAGTGGCTTTATTGCCTTGAAATAGATTCATGCTGGATTTAAATTTAAGGCTTCTTTTCTTTCTTTTTTTGTGCCGTATCCTTTCTCCCAACTTCCTGTCCTGTGTAGCTTAAAGCAACGTTTGTTCACTCAGTATCCTTCCATTTACACAAGATCGTTAGGTATGTTACTCTTTCTTTCTCTCTCTTTCTCCCTCCTACCTTTAATGTGCCCTGTGAGTGTCCAATTCGCCAAGCTCCCTCGCCTTGGTATGTGTTCTAGAAAGTTTAACTGTCTCATTCTGATTTGAATAAAAAGCATCCTTTTCGTTCCTATAGCTTTAAGACTTCATAGTTGCTTATATGTTCCGTCACGGCATTCCCATCATGCTTTGTAGAACCACATCTCTGCTGCCTTATCTATGAAGACATTGTCTACTATTCATTGCCATAAATGAGGATTGGAATTATAAGGTACTCCAGCGCTATTTTCATACTCTTCCACGGTTTTTTTGAACAGGAGTAGGGATTTATCCTTTGTTTCTTTCTTAAGTATAGGGTTTCCGGTTCCTTCTAAATCCTTCTTATTCTCTTTTATTCCCAATACCCCCCCTTGTGTCTTAGTGGCATCATCGCCTTGCCTGAAGTGAATTGATTAAAAAAGGAATTTTGTTTAGATTTTGGAAAACGTTTATTATTTTAATGGATCTTATTCTGCGGAAAAATACTTCCATGGACTACAGGAATAAAATCTAACCTGACTTTTAGAAGTTCGAAATCAATCATTAATTCAATAGTACTAGATTGACAACAAGTTCTCATCAATTTACATTTGAATTGGCTAGATGTAACCGTAAGTTCTATGCTAAGAGTTTCTTTTCCCACACTTCTTGACTGTGGAACTCTCTTCAGGCTCCATGCTTTCCGGCTCTCTTCCATTTTCAAAAATGTAAATGCAATGTCAATCGATATCTACTGTCTTCTTGATTACTCTTCTCTTGCTCTCGCTCTTTTATAATGTTTCTATTTTTTAATTCTTTCATACCCAGTAACCTCTTGACTTTTAGTGGCTTTGCTACCTTGCTTGCGGTAAATTCGATTAAAAAATAGCAGTTTAGAATAAGAAAGAACCATATGAAAATTAGATAATACACGAAATAGCAAATGTTGTCCGTACAAAGACGAAGAGGAAATTTTAAGTTATATAAAGGAATATAATGAATTACTTTAGAATAAATTAGACATGACAGGGTAGGGACGACAGTTAACAGAGAACTGTGCAACTCACTTGTATTTGGTTCTGCAGGAATAGCACACCTTGTCTTAGAGAACTAAAAGGGATTATTTTGAACTTTGAAATTAAACTCCACTCCATACCAAACCATTTGATAGTGACTTTCTAAGCGTAGCTTAGATGTGGCACAAGGCTGAAAATATGGAGCAGGCAGTGAGGATCAACTTTACTACTCGGTCGGAATTGATTTAGCGAGACAAGATTGCTAACGATTATATCACGTTAAAATGCCCAAATTGATTTTCTAAGCGAAGCTTAGATACGGCACAAGATCGAAAGTATGGTGCACTCAGTTAGGATCGAGCTCGGATTCAGTTGTAATTGAGAGACGAGCTTGTTAACTATTACAGCAAGTCAAAATACACAATTTCATGGCCATTTCCACAAACTAAATTGAAACGAAAGACTTATAGTTGATAAACAACTTAAGAGAAAACTGAAAAAAAAAATGAAGAATATATAAAAGTAACAGTAGTACTAGTTATTACTGGAGGACAGTGTGTAGTGGTATTGACGGAATAAATAAACCCACACATTTTGGAGAAGTGAATGTTCCGTTTGTTTTCGTTGCTCGTAGTTTTAAATGTATTGTTCGTAATTGTTTGTACTTAAAGTTTCGTCTGATTCAATAACGTAATTGAATAAAGTTTTATAAAATTTTACAAGTTTGTGAGTGAGATGTTTCGTTGAAATTGTAGCTTGATTTTCAGTGAAGTTATTTCATGTTAAAGAACTTTAGGTTCCAACTTTGTACTTCGCTGCATTCAAGCGTCGTGAAGTCGTTTAGCAAATTTGGTCGTCGTAAATTCTCACTGACTGGGTTCGCTCGTACCTTCAATTTATATGTTTTTTTAACCACGTGACTGGCTCCGAAGGCATTGTTTTTTCGTCAGGTCAAAAACTAGGTTGACGTTGTTCGGACGTAGTGGTGAGCAGGTAAATTGTTTTTTTTAACATCTGTTAACCACTCAGAAAGCGCCTTACAAAACTTAGTCTGGAGCCTGATATGTTTTGTGTTGCTTATTGAGAACAATGCACGTGGACATATACGAGATAATTTTAATATTTATTATCCAATGAGAAGTTTAGGTTTTTCAGAAACATTTATGAAGATGTGATCCGCTCTTTGCACGAAAATCGACATTTGTGAAAAAGTGGTAGCGGACAGCTAAAAGTGATTGCGCCTTGAGGGACTTACTGTCACTTGTTACTCGGTGAAAAACACCAGATTCTATTGCTTGAAAATTACATTAAATAACAATAATATTAATGGTAAAGGTGATAACAACTGGCAAAGATGGCGGCACGGAAGGTTGAAATATTAAGAATAATAGTTAATTATTATTCTGATGTTGAACTCGCTTGAACGTGAAAAATTAATTCTCCCTTGTCTAAAGACATTTTTAAAAGCATGTTAACTTTTTAAATTTTCTTTATCAGATTAAATTTTATTTTAATTATTTCCTTTGTTTTGTTTTGATTTTTGTTTTGTTTTTTCGTGTTTTTTTTTTTTGTTGTTTTTTTGCTTAAAAAATCTATTATCGAATCTATTTGTCAAAGGAACGCTGAACTCCCAGCATCCTTTGCGTGAAATCTGTACCGGAATTCAAAACAATTACGTATGTCGGAATTATCAACTGTTGATCGCTGTTCGGAATTAATCTCTTTTTACCCCAGGCTCACCCAAGTCGTCTCTCCTACTAACAAATTCCCTGCTATCTGGGTTTGAGCCAGCAAGAGACAGGGCTGGGTGAGATTTTGACAGGAAGTGAAGGTTGGAGGCGCGAGTCATTTTCTAAGTCCAGTGCCCAACCCCGTGCCAAGATCCCCCGACCACTGCTGACATCGCATGATTAATGTCGCAACACACATAAAGCAGGTTGTACTTGATTAGATTTAAAGACGTCCGTACAAGTCGCTTACAAGACAACGTGAATCAAGGCTTTAACGAGAGAA